GCTTTTTTTACTTTTTTTACTAGAGCTCCGAAACCGGTAGACCTACCTTCATGAAAATTTGATCAATTCTTCATCTTGTCAATACAAGTAAAATGTTTTTTGAATTATTATATTACCGTTTTTGGCACTTTTTGCCCCGTATCTTCGGAACGGCTAGACCTGCCTTCGCCAAAAAGTAATCAGTCTCCTTATCAATACGAATCGAATGTTTTTTGAATTATCCAAATCGCTTCATCCGTGTTCTCGAAATCGTCGACGAAAATTTGTATCGGAACATACATACATACACGCACACACACACACACACACATACATACATTTTTTCTAAGCTATGCCAAAATATTCAGAAACCTCTGAAACGTAAAAATATATTGAAATTTTCATTTTCGATTTTTTTGCGATTACTATAACTTACCCTACGGGAAGTTAAAAATAACGAAGGTTACAGTATTTGTAATAATATATTTGAAAACGTTTAATATTTCTCGAACATTTCGTTACGGTACGGGAAGTTCCAGCAATTTGCCTTAAAGCACGATGCCATACACCACTAGTTCATTTTTACAATGTCTCTCGTGGTTTTATTATGTTTCTATATTCATTTTTAACTTCCCGAAGGAGAAGTTTATGTTTTCATAAAAAAATCCGATTCTGTAATTTTATGTTTTCTCGACGTTTCAAGCCACTCTGAATCGAATGAGACCAACATTTGGAAAAAGTATTTGTGTGTGTGTATGTGAACAGATTTTTTGCCGTAAAACGACGTTTTCTCGAAAACGGCTGGGCCGATTTTAAAAATTTAAAAGCCATTCGATGTATCTCGACGAGAACTATTGTTCTCGTCAGTTTTGTGCGACGATCTGCCAAGCCGTTTCTTTGCAATTTGAAAAAAAGTGTTAAACTTTTCGTCCACATTTAAGCTCATACTATCGATTGGATGTAAAAAAATCAAAAACTGTTCGAAAGATATTAGTTGGGAATGATACTGATTAGTTTTAGGTGAAAATCTACCGAGCCGTTTTCTTGTAATTAACTGTTGAAAAAAAAAAAATTAAGTCGATTCTTATGGAACTTTTTTTGGCGATATACATCATGGTCTTATAGAACTTACTGTAATATTGCGGCCTTACGACAAGTAGTTTAATTTTAAAAATTCGTCAAACTTTGCTAAAATTATTATCGTTTTTTTTTAAGTAGGATTGATAAAGTATATTATTTACACATATCGGGAAGTTCATGTAACTTGCCTCAAGGCAAAATACCAAACCAACTAGTTTCTGAAGGCATTTATGGGTATACCTAGCCGATATAGAGCATAATAATGTTAGACAATATTAAACACTATTACATTTTGTACAAATTTAAAAATTTAAAAATTTAAAAATGTAAAAAATACCAAACCAACTAGTTATCCACATATGTTTAACCGTTGATTACCGTTTGTTTCCATAAGCTATATTTTCGCGCCTGATCGCCGAGAAAATCTTCGTACTACGGCGCCAATAAAAATCTCTCTATCTCAGTTTCTCAACCAATGACGATACAAGTTTTCACAATTTTCCACCAGCACGTACGCACACATTTCACTTGTTACAGAAACTCCAAACGGACAACAAGCTTTTTTATAAAAAATGTATTATTTATTTTTATTTTAATTTTACAATTATTTAAAATTTGTCATATAACTCGACGTTTATTAATTTGTGTTTCAATAATTTTTTCGTGCAATTTTCGTGTGTTTTTGTGTTTTTGTGTTTTTTTTTTCAACTTATTTGTATGGTGAGTTCTTTACATTTGTTTATGTCTATTTTTGTATTTTCACTTCTATATACTTTCACAATATATATTTGTTATAAAACAAATATATTAAATTGATTAGATTTATGCTTTTTTACATGTTTCTATTGATATTTTTCTGTATTTGTGTATTTTTTAACTTTCCGTAGGGTGAGTTATAGTAATCGCAAAAAAATCGGAATTGAAAATTTTTTTTATATATCTTTACGTTTCAGAGGTTTCTGAACATTTTGGCATATCTTAGAAAAAATGGATGTATGTGTGTGTGTGTGTATTAGGATTTATACAAAAACCGACATTTCAGAAAACCGGTTTTCGAATTTCAATTTTACTAAAAAACCGGTTTTAACCGGTTTTCGAATTTTATATAGAAAATAAATTTTTGCTCGAATATAATGAAATATTCGAGAAATTTTAAACGTTTTCGAATATATTATTACAGATACTGTAACTTTCATTATTTTTGCTATCTTGTTTGTTATATCTGAGCAAATCAAATGTAAATCATAAATCAATTTATCTCCAGAACATTAACAATCGTCATTTCATTTCGAATTCAATTTCAAAAAAAAAAATTGTTGCCTAATTTACACAAAATTAAAAAAGTGCTCCCGTATAGTCACAGTCTAAACGCATTTGCAAATAATTATGTGCGACATTTTCACTTATATTGTGCTTAGCTTGGCGGTATTTTCACATTTTTCAATAGTTTTCACAAAATTCAAAAAGTGCTCCATTACATAAACAGTCTAAACGCACTTGCGAAAACATTTGCACCAGAGTGGCGCTTAGACTGTGCTTAGCCTGGAATTTTTTTTTTAATCTAAAAAAATTACGAAAATATTTTATGGAAAATAAAAAAAGATGTGATAATTTTTCATCCTCAAAAGCAATTTTTTTGTCAATACAAGCAGAAAGTTTTTTAGATAATTCAAATCCGATACTCCGTTCTCTCAAAAACTCGATTTGTATTTTGTGCACTCATTGCTCCGTATCTCCGTAACAGCTGGACCTGGCTTTGCCAAAAACTAATCAGCACATCTCCCTATCAATAGGAATCGAATGCTTTTTAAACCATTCAAATCTATAGATCCGTGCGGCCGAAAACGTGGACGAAAAATGCGGACATACAAAACACACACACACATCCATTTAGTTTCTGAGGTATGCCCCTGAAAAATGTTCAGAAACCTTCAAAACGTCGAGAAATGCAAAAATTTTCATTTTCGATTTTCGGTCCATTACTATAACTACCCTACGGGAAGTTAATAATCTTTAATGCAAAACCAAGAATCAAATTAATAAGACTGACTTATTAAGAATAAAAATTAAATTACTATTAAAATAAACAATGCAGGCTTATTAAAAAAATAATTGTAAAATTTGCTTTACAACAGCAAATAAGCACTATATAAATAAAATATGTATATATATATATATATATATATATATATATATATATATATATATATATATATTAGGTTGTCAAATATCTCCCTTCCGCCTTTTTGTATTATAAACGAAGAGCAAAAAAGCGGAAGGAGATATTTGACAACCTAATATGATATATAAAATAATGTATGTATAAAATATATATATATATATATATATATATATATATATATACATTATTTTCATATCTCAGTCAGACAGAGGTGCCTGGTATGAGAGATTATGAAAAACAGTTTTCATATTTTATATATACATTTCATTTGACTATTTCATTAATATAATATTTATTATAATTAAAATATCTCTATCTTTATATATAGCCATTCAGTCTTCTTTGTCTTCAATTTCTTTATAGTATTTCTTTATTTTTCTTTTAAATTTATTGTCATCATTGGTCATCTTAATATCGTTTGGCAATTCATTATATATTTTGCTAGCGCTTAATATGACATTTTCTCTCATTATGACATTTTAAGATGTTCTTTTCGACTATCAACTCTATCTTATTAGTAAACCTAAAGTTCTCCTTGAAGGTTGTTCAGCACCAATTTTTACCTTTTCCAACATTAGTCCAGTCATTTGGTGCAAAAAAAGGCTGTTGCCGGTACAGTACTCCGGGAATTCTGAAAATTGGTAATTTAATAGATTTCGAGGTGCTCTTTACGAAAATCAACTTTGCCACCTCAAATTTGAACGGCAAGTTGCCGCCATATTGAAAAAATGGTGTCATAAAACAGCTTTTTTAAAATATCTCGTTTCTGGCTCATTCTACGATAAAAGTATCTATGTACGAATTAAACTAGATAAAATTTCCTGCAATTCTTTAGAAAACCGTTTTTTTGTAAAATTGATAGTTTGAGAGTACGGCCGCCTCAAAGTCTTTGCTATCAAATCTCTCCATATATGACAGCACTTTGAACTTGACCACATACCTTCTAATAAATAAGTATTTTCAATGTTAAATTAAGCGAATAAGATCTAGAAACAAAATAATTCAAATATTTTTCTGTTTTTTTGCTGATTTTTTAACACTTCAAGCTACTTACTTATAGCTACTTTGCCATTGAAGTGTTGAAAAATCAGCAAAAAAACAGAAAAATATTTGAATTATTTTGTTTCTAGATCTTATTCGCTTAATTTAACATTGAAAATACTTATTTATTAGAAAGAATGTGATCAAGTTCAAAGTGCTGTCATATATGGAGAGATTTGATACTACGGCGAGAGCAGCAAAGACTTTGAGGCGGCCTTACTCTAAAACTATCAATTTTGCAAAAAAACGGTTTTCTAAAAAATTGTAGGAAATTTTATCTAGTTTAATTCGTACATAGATACTTTTGTCGTAGAATGAGCCAGAAAGAAGATATTTTAAAAAAGATGTTTTTTGACGCCAATTTTCCAATATGGCGGCAACTTGCCGTTCAAATTTGAGGTGGCAAAGTTGATTTTCGTAAAGAGCACCTCGAAATCTTAAAGATTACCAATTTTCAGAAATCCCGGAAAACTGTACCGGCAAAACGACCAAATGACTAGACTACATAGATCCCTATTATTCCATTAATATTAGGTTGTCAAATATCTCCCTTCCGCTTTTTTGCTCTTGGTTTATAATACAAAAAGGCGGAAGGGAGATATTTGACAACCTATTATATCAGTGTTCCAAATGTACCATTTTTTTCTTCAGGTTGAGACCGAGTTTGCTCGCCAGTAGACTTCTTTCCCCATCAATTTCAAACAAATAATTTCCAACCATGGATGCAGACTTCGCTCTAGATTATGCAGTTCGTATGGGAGACTTGAAAAAAGTTAAAGAACTAGTCCAACATTACGGTTTATCATATTCAAAACGTTGGCTGGGAGGACATGCACTTTTGTGCGATGCACTCGAGTTCAGAAACAATGCAGTTGCTAAATATCTGCTTAATATTGGATGCAAGATAAAAATCAGTGAGAAGTATCCAAGGAGTCCTCTGCATTTAGCAGTTCACGGTGGAGATGTCGATATTATCGAAACCATACTGGATTGTGAAGCAGATGTCGATGTAGTCGATGAAGATGGTAATACACCACTTCATGTTGCTATTGAATACAGACAAGAAGATGTAGTCGAGTTGCTTTTGATGTACGGTGCAAAATTGGATTGAAAGATGAGAATGGACAGTATCCGATACATATTGCAGCTAACCAAGATTACATACAAATCTTGGTTTTGGTTGTACAATACGGAGCTGTTGTGGATCAACTTGATGATAATGGTGATACAGCTTTGCTCTTGGCTGTTGAACAAGGGTTTTACCAAAACGTTGAGTTCCTCATAAAATGTAAAGCATCGAAAGACATCCAGAGTAACCACAATGCTTTCAAGCTTTCACTCATCAAACATAATGAGGGCTATCAAGAAATAGCACAAATATTCCTCGACCACAGTTTTTACATCAAACAAACAGATGCAGATGATGCTGCACTACTACACGGCCTAGTGAATAATGGCTACTTTAAAATATTCCACGATTTGATGGACTATGGAGCTTCTATTGATGCTAGATATGGAGGCCGTACTCTTCTACATGCTGCAGTCATATCAAGCAGAATGGACTTTATAGAATTTTTAGTCGGTCACAAAGCTGATCTCAATGCTCGTGATATTGATGACAAAACCCCTTTACATTTCCTTATCGATGAAATCGTTGTCAGTCCACATGCCAATGAAATCGCTCAATTACTACTCACCAATGGTGCTAATGTAAATGCACAAGACGAAGATGGTATCACGATACTCCACAAAGCCTCAAACGGTAGAGACAAACAACTCCTGAAAACACTTTTAAAATACAATGCAGATGTCAACATTAAAACTAAATATGGATCTACTGCCCTTCGTGAAGCTATTTTATATGCTGATGTAGAAACCGTGGAACTCCTGGTCCTGCACGGAGCTGATCTTAATGCCAAAGTCAAAAATGGTGTAACCTATTTACATGTCAGCCTGGAATACAGTCGATTGGAGACAACCAAGTTTCTTCTGGATCATGGTGCTGATGTCAATGGAACTGATAATTATGGTAACACAGCACTTCATCTCGGGGCTATTTTACCAGACTTGTCTGCGATGGGTGATGATCACATAGAATTACTTCTTGACTATGGTGCTGATATCAATATCAGGAATGGAACCGAGAACACTGCTCTGGAATGTGATCCTGAATGGTAAGTATAAAAAACTTGTATAATATACTTAAATGAAACGTCGATGTTGTCTTAGCCATGTATTTTAAACAACTATATTTTACATAATAATAAAGAATAAAATTAAAAGCTCGAAATGGCGGGTCAAAAGCCCCCCTACCAGATTTTGGTTATTTCTAAAGCACACCGTTAGATGGCGACATAATTAATTATATTTTATCCAAACTTAATAACTATCTACACCTAGTTCAATTGTAGATCCAATTGAAGTGAAACTGACATTTTGCCTTAAGGCAAGTTGCATGAATTTCTCGAAATGTGTGATAATTGATAACTTATGAGGCAATTTTGCCGTAATAGAGCTCATAAAATAACGTTGTCATGGCAACGCTCTCTTATGCTTGTTCTTTGTAGTGAATATTACGAAAATGTGTCTATCTATTTGCCGTGCGATCAGGCGTATTTTACAATATGAACATAACAAGTAAGATTCTCATGATAACTGCACCATCTAAAATTCTGTTATCATAACATTATTCTTCAAATATTTAAATAAAATTAATCAACTGCATGATTACATATATCATGTACATAGTCCTTGATATCATTTAATGATTTAAATTAATGGTAACATTTTTTACACAACTGCAGAAGTTTTGTAGACTTATTTTTCTGCTGATTGCAAAAGAAGTGGTTTTTAAAATGTGATATTCAAATTTTGACTCACTACATCACAAAAGAGACTTGTGGCACAAATTCTGACTATCATATTTTGATGAATTTTTAAAATTAAACCACTTGTTGTAGGACCGTAATATTATAGCATTTTCTCTAGGACCACGATATCTATCAAAATAAAAAGTATCATTGTAAATTTTTTTCAACAGTTAATCACTAAGAAAAAAATAATCAACACGACTCCCAAATAATAATTTTCGAATCAGAATTTTTGGCTGAAACATGGACAATTTTTTTTTCACTTTTCTGCTATTAATAAAGAAACGGCTTAACTGATCTTCATGAAAATCTGACGAACGATAGTCGTAATTGAGATATAGCGAATGTCTTTTAAATTTTTGAAATCTGTCCATCCGTTTTTGAGAAAACGTCGACGAAATGTAAAAAATCGGTTCACAAATACTTTTTCCAAATTTGGTCTCACTCAAAAGATAGAAGGGGACTGTGACGTCACTTGCTGAACGAGCGTTGCCGATAATCGTGGAAGACTTCCAATTGATTAAATGTCTGTTCTGCCGTAACAGAGCTCAATAACAAAGTTTTCAAGGCAACGCTATGTTATTCTTATTTCTTGGTAGTAAAAACTGTAAAATTGTCCATATATTTGCTGTGCAATCAGGCGTATTTCACATAAAAACAAGCAAGGAAAAATGTTATGATAACAGCAAGTTTCTAATGAACTAACTTAAAAAAAGTGCCCGAAACAAATTTTTCAAGTTATATAATAAAATGTAAAAAAAATTGTCCAACTCTCCATATTTTGCAAATTTGAGTTAATATATAATTGCGGTTTCCAACTCATTTCATTCAAAAATTTGTATTAGAGCATATAAGAGTATTTATGAGTATTCGTAATAAATTTTATCTTGTTTCTCCTAACTTGAAGAAAAAAGAGTGCCCGGAACAATTATTTTGTGTTATTTAACCAAATGTAAAAAATGTGCAGCGCTTTATATATTGCAACATTTTAGTTACTATATAATTGTGATTTCAAACGCATTTTATTTAAAATTTTGTATTAAATTATATAAAACTAATTATAAGAAAACCTAGTAAATTTTATCTAGTTTCTCCTAAAATTCATTAAAAAAAAGTGTCCCAACTAAACTTTTCGTGTTATTTTTAAAAAAAGAAAAAAATCTAGTCTCACTCCTCATATATTACAAACTTTAGTTATAATACAATGGCCAATTCAAACGCGTTTTATACAAAATTTTGTTTTATAGCTTATCAAACAATTCATAAGGTTTCACAGTAAATTTTATCTAGTTCATCGTAAACTAAAGAAAAAAGCGTGACATAAACAAAAATATAAGTATGTAATTTAAACAAAGAAAGAAAAATGTTCCAAACCCATATATAGCAAACTACCAAATTGTAAACAGCGAAACAAACTAGTTTTTTTTAACATATTTTTGTATTGGATTGTATAAAAAAGTTTATACAAAATTTTAATAAATTTTATCTAGTTTTTTTTAAGCTAAACCAAAAAGAGTGCCCCAATCAAACTTTTCGCGTTATTAAATAAAATGTAAAAAAAACATGCCTATAACTGAAAAATTTTAGTCACAGTACGTTACGTACGTTGCGATTTCTAACTCATTTTCTTCAGAATTTTGTATTAGATTATATAAAACTAATCATGAGAAAACCTAGTCACTTTTATCTAGTTTATCCCAAAATTAATTAAAAAGAGTGCCCCAACCAAACTTTTCGTGTTATTTAAAAAAAAAAGTAAAAAATCTAGTCTCACTCCTCATATATTACAAATTTTGGTTATTAAATAATGACCCATTCAAACGCGTTTTATACAAAATTTTGTTTTAGAGCTAATCAAACAATTTATAAGGCTTCGTAGTATATTTTATCTAGTTTCTCCTAAAATTAATTAAAAAGAGTGCCCGGAACAAAATTTTCATGTAATTAAATAAAATGTAATAAAAACATGCCTATAGCTCTTCATATATTGAGCAATTTTAGTCACAGTATAATTGCGATTTCAAACTCATTTTATTCAGAATTTTATATTAGATTATATAAAAGTAATTGTGAGGAAACTTAGTAAATTTTATCTAGTTTCTCCTAAACTAAAAAAAAGAGTGCCTGAATCAATTATTTTGTGTTATTTAACCAAATGTAAAAAAATGTCCAGCGCTTCATATATTTCAAAATTTAGTTACTATATAATCGTGATTTCAACCCCATTTTATTCAAAATTTTGTTTTATAACATATAAAACTGATTATAAGGAAACTTAGTAAATTTTACCTAGTTTCTCCTAAAATTAATTAAAAAGAATGCCCCAACCAAAATTTTCGTGTACTTAAATAAAATGTAAAAAAAACATGTCTATAACTCTTCATATATTGAACAATTTTAGTCACTAAATAATTGTGATTTCAAATGTGTTTTATACAAAATTTTGTATTAGATTATATAAAACTAATTATGAGAAAACCTAGTAAATTTTATCTAGTTTCTCTTAAAATTAATTAAAAACAATTTTTTTTCTCCAGGGAAGAGCTAGGATCCCTAACCCTAAAATACCACACAATCAAATTACTGGAGGCGGGTTTATACGTGAGTCCTCAGAACTTAGAAGTAGTGGCAACCTGGATTATAAAAGACGACATAATAAAAGAATGCAGAGACGATATTAGAAGAATGAAAAAAACGAAAATTTCCAACACAAACATTTCCTATTACGACTTTTATATGAAAAGCATTTCGTCCTTGGCGTCTTTGCTAAGAAACGAAAAAGTTGTGAGGGCAATGAAGGGCAGAGGACATGAATTCATGTTTCCTATTTATTACAAAAGCATCGAATACAAATTCAGGAGAGCCCTTATGAGGAGAGATTTAGTTCAACATTGTCATAAATTATCGAACCTTTTTTTCCCCAAATTGCCGCATAATTGTATAGAGAAAATTTTCGGTTATTTAGGAAACTTGGAGATGAAGTTCCTAATTGCTGCTTGTGCAAGGCCTGAGAACAATATTTGAAATGAATTTTGTTCAAACAATAAGACTGATGAAAAAGATTGATGATAAGGATATGATAGAGTATATTTTTTTTATTTTAAATGCAAAATGCTGAGTTGATATTTTGTAAATAAATGGAACAATGAATACTGTAACATGTGTTTTAATTAAACAAAAATTTAAAATTTAACTAGTGGTGTAATAAATATAAATTGCTGGGTCTTTCCATACCGTAATGAAATATTTGAAAAATAAAATTTAGTAAAAAATAGTGCTGTTTGGCATCGTGCCTTAAGGCAAATTGCTGCAACTTCCCGTACCGTAATAAAATATCCAAAAAATTTTAAACGTTTTCAAATACATTATTACAAATACTCTGTAACTTTCATTATTTTTGCTATCTTGTTATATCTGAGCTAAATTAAAAGTAAATCATAAATCAATTTATCTCCAGAACATTAACAATCGTCATTTCATTTCGAATTCAATTTCAAAAAAATAGTTGACTCTACTAATTTTACACAAAATTGAAAAAGTGCTCCCGTATAGTCACAGTCTAAACGCATTTGCAAATAATTCTGTGCGACATTTTCACTTATACTGTGCTTAGCTTGGCGGCATTTTCACATTTTTCAATAGTTTTTCGCAAAATTGGAAAAGTGCTCCCGTGCAAAATTACAAACATATTTTATGAAAAATAAAAAAAAATGTATTAATTTTTTATCCTCAAAAGCAATTATTTTGTCAATACGAGCAGAAAGTTTTTTAGATCATTCAAATCGGACGCTTAGTTCACTCAAAAACTGCTATTTTGTGCACATTTAGCTCTGTATCTCCAAAACGGCTGAAGCTGCCATTGGCAAAAACTAATCAACACATCTCCCTATCAATAGCAATCGAATATTTTTCAGATCATTCAAATCCGATACTCCGTTCTCTCAAAATTTCTATTTTCTGCACTCTTTGCTCCGTATCTTCAAAACGGCTGAACCTGCCTTTGCCAAAAACTAACCAGCACATTTTCCTATCAATAGGAATCTAATATTTTTTGAATCATTCAAATCAGTTAATCCGTGCGCCCGAAATCGTCGACAAAAGAATGTATCCACAAACACACACATACATATTTTTTCTAACAAAGGTATGTCAAAATGTTCAGAAACCTCTAAAACGTGAAGATGTGCAAAAATTTTCATTTTCGATTATTGGACGATTACAATATTTTACTACGGGAAGTTTTTTTCTTCTAAAATACTTCTAAAAAATTTGAAACCGATTTTTTTTTATAAAAAGACATTGATAAATACAAACAACCCTAAATTTTCACCCTCTTACTACAAATATCCGTATTTTCAATAGTCATTTCAGTAATGTCATAATTTTTCATATTGCTTGATAACTAATTAATTATTATAAATACTTCTCAGCTTAATTCCAGTTTTTAAGATTATGCTAAAAATTTCAATTTTTCTACAAAAAAAGATTTATTCTTGTAGAGAGTTATTTAACCCTAACGCTTATCTTATATATTATATTTGAAACATTTTGAAGTAAAATTTTCTTAGGCGTTACTTACGAGGTAACTCAGCGAATATGCAACGGAAATGCGTTACGCCACAAATACGGATTCGTGATTGGCCATCAGTGCGAAACGAATGGATGTAATCAACAAAAAAATTTTGATGGTATTTCACTTTCAAACTACTCAAACATTTTGTATTAAAGTGTATAAAACAATTCATACAAAATTTTAGTAAATTTTATCTACTTTCTTCTAAGCTAACTCAATAAGAGTGCCCGGAACAAATATTTTGAGTTCTTTGAATAAATGTAAAAAAGTGTCCCGAATCAATACATTGTAAATACGCATAGTACTTTAGGGCGTGTTCAAAATGTACAAAATTTTGTACCAAAGTGTATAAAACAGTTTATACAGAATTTTAGTAAATTTTATCTAGTTTCTGCTAAACTAACTAAAAAAAGAATACTCAGGACAAAATTTTTGAGTTATTTGAAAAAATGTAAAAAAGTGTCTCAAATTCTAATGCTGTATATATACAAAATACTTTGGGCGGGTTCAAACTATCCAAAATTATTGTAACAAACTATATAATACACAGTATGCAGAATTTTAGTAAATTTTATCTAGTTTCTGCTAAGCTAATTAAAAAAGAGTGCCCAATACAAAGTTTACGAGTTTATCAGTGAAATGTAAAAAAATGTCCCCATACATTGTAAGAAAAACTTGCGATAATATATACATATAAGGACTAGTTCTTACAGGATTTATTCAAAATATTCTTATGATGGTATATTGAACTGTTTATGGTAAAATATTGTAATTTTTATACACTTTCCTCTAAGCTATCTCAAAAATGTATCCAGAACAAAGTTTTTGAGTTATTTGAAAAAATGTAAAAAAGTGTCCCGAATCCATATATTGTAAAATATATTCGAGCGAAAACAAACTACTCAAAATTTTGTACCAAAGTGTATAAAACAGTTTATACAGGATTTTAGTAAATTTTATCTAGTTTCTGCTAATGATAACAAAAAAACGTGTGTTGTTTTTTCTAACCCTAATTTTTCATATTTTTATCACAACCTTTAATTCTGTTGCCGAATCATTTTGTATCGTTTTTTGTTTTACTCTATTTTAATTAATTTTTTCATAAGCTTACGACCATAACAAACAAACTTCTTTTTGGTGAAGTTTGAAATGTATTATCTCACAAGTACATCACAAATTATTACAACACGTTTCAAACAATCAGTAAGCTTTATACGAGAATAAACTTGTTATACGATTTGCAGCAACCTTCCACAAAAGGGCACTTTTTCGTTCTGCTGCAGTCGGAAGCTTTCCTGGTAAACGTTTCATCAACTGACAAATAAATAATTATATAAAAATATTGAAATAAAACTATCATAGATAATATTTGAATTAAATTAACTTTATGATAAATATTATTAATTATTAAATTAATATTATTATTAAAATCATTTATTAAAATCGTTTGATTTGCAAGAAAATTGCTTTCAATGTCTGATCTTATTGTTAGTAAGAGAGTTACATTTTTTTAGTTTTTGCTAAATTTTGTTCTAGGTATATAGAAATTAAATAAAGCGTTATATGTTGCTGTAATGCTCATAAAACACTTCACAAAACTGTGTTTACAGTTTCATTATTTTTAGAACAAAATTCTTCAAAAAGAAAATCGCGAAAATGGATTCAATCGTAAAGAAATCCCTCTCAATGTCTAGAAACAGTTACGTGTGTTTAGTTTTTGTCAAATTTTGTTCTACATATATAAATTATAACAAAAGTGTTATATACTACTGTAATGCTCATAAAATTCTTCATAAAACTGTGTTCACTAATTTTAATAATTCAATAATTTTAGAACAAAATATTTAAAAAAAATCGTGAAAATGGATTGAATTGCAAAGAAATCCCTCTCTATGTCTAGAGATAGTTACATTTGTTTAGTTTTTGTCAAATTTTGTTTTACGTATATAAATTATAACAAAAGTGTTATATATTACTGTAACGCTAATCAAATTGTCTATAAAACTGTATTTACAGTTTCAATAATTTTAGAACAAAGTTATTTAGGAAAAAATCGTGAAAATGGATTCAATCGCGAAGAAATCCCTCTCAATGTCTATAAGAGATAGGTACATTTGTTTAGTTTTTGTCAAATTTTGTTTTACGTATATAAATTATAACAAAAGTGTTATATATTACTGTAACGCTAATCAAATTGTTTATAAAACTGTATTTACAGTTTCAATAATTTTAGGACAAAATTCTTCAAAAAAAAAAAAAAATCTCAAAAATGGATTAAATCGCAAAGAAATCCCTCTCAATGTCTTAGAGATGTTTAGTTTTTGTGAAATTTTGTTTCACATATATAAATTATAACAAAAGTGTTATATATTACTGTGATACTCATAAAATTCTTCATAAAACTGTGTTTACACTTTCAATAATTTTAAGACAAAATTCTTCAAAAAGAAAATCGCGAAAATGGAATGAATCGCAAAGAAATCCCTCTCAATGTCTAGAGATAGTTACATTTGTTTAAGTTTTGTCAAATTTTGTTTTACATATATAAATTATGACAAAAGTGTTATATATTACTGTAATGCTCATAAAATTGTCTATAGAACTGCATTTACATTTTCAATAATTTTAGGACAAAGTTATTTAGTAAAAAATCGCAAAAACTGCGAGTCCGCGATTGTCGTCGGCAATGTTCGCTCAGACATGTGACGTCACAGTTGAGCACTATATACAACGGAAAACATATGAGGACTAGCAGTGTAATGTCTTTGAAATTACCTCGCTAATTTCTTTCTCCGTATACATCGTAAACTTTTTCGAAGTTTCCATCACCATAAGATCGACATCAATCGGTTCCATTTCTCTATTCATGTCTTGCTTCAAAATTGTTAAGGCAATAAAAGTTGCATCTTCAATATTTATATCTTTATAATAAGTGTCCTATAAGGTAAAAGTCATTCTGAATCGTTTGACATCAAAAACTGTAGATAAATAAGTATAAATAGATGGCAAACACAGCTGCTTTGACACTAAATCAATATTAGTTCTTTCAGCATATCATAGATGTCGCCACCAACCGTAGCACGTAAATTCACCTTTAGGCTTAATTCTAGGATAAGATTTATTTGAATATATAAAATATAGAAAAGGTAAACTTGATTAATTTGACTAAATGAAATAAGAACAAAACTAGTGGTATGTGGCATCGTGCCTTAAGGCAAATTGCTGGAACTTCCCGTACCGTAATGAAATATTTGAGAAATTTTAAACTTTTTCAAATATATTACAAATACTGTAACTTTCATTATTTTTGCTATCTTGTTTGTTATATCTGAGCAAATCAAATGTAAATCATAAATCAATTTATCTCCAGAACATTAACAATCGTCATTTCATTTCGAATTCAATTTCAAAATAAAAAATAGTTGTCTGATTTGCACAAAGTTGAAAAAGT